ATGTTAGTTTTAAAGCTATCGACTTGAAACTTTGCACGACTGAGCTTCTGTCCTTGGCACGCAGTATATAAGTCGAAACGGTCGGGATCAGCGACTATATCCTATAGCTGCCATAAAATTGAACCTCGGAAAAACCCCTTTTTTTCGTATTGTTGAAGATAAAAAGTTCGAAGCTTGTGATTTTTTTTACATTTTATACTATTATAAATCGGTTACATTATGATATTTTCTTAAGGGTCGACCAACTATATCCGATGTTTGCGATATATATCCGGTTTTAACTGCAAGAGTATATCAACTACGGCTCCGCCCGAAGTTAGCTTTCCTTTCTTTTATTTTCTACATTTTTTTTTATCCAAAATTGTAAGAACATTTTTATATTAATATTTTTGCATATTATAACAAAGCATAATTAACGAAAACATAATAATAATCACAATAAAATAAAATCGTTCTTCTTCTAAATCAAAATCAAAATGTGGTACACTTTGAAGCTCGTTTTCAACACTTTCTACTTGGGCTGCATCTTCCGATTTTGGAGAAACTAAAAGTGCAAAAACTTCACTTGGCAATGAGTCAAAAGAATCAAAAGCTTGGTGAAATACGTCAGATAAATTGTTCACTCGGCTATTTTTCCTGGCATACAAGAGCCTTTCGCGCGTGTAATATTTGTTTTGAGCCTCAGATGCGTTTTTGCCTAAGCAACAAACAGGAAACACAGATGATTCAATTATTTGTGGACCATTAACTACAATTTTGTGGACCGTCATTGGATACCACAGATATTTGTTTAAATGAAAAATTCATAATGCATAAATTCTTCACAAAATTTCTTAAACTTATTTACACAAACGTCATATTCGCAAGATTAAACTATTAAAATGATATGTAGTTTTTATACCCTTGCAGAGGGTATTATAATTTTGTCCAAAAGTGTGCAACGCAGTGAAGGAGACATCTCCGACCCTATAAAGTATATATATTCTTGATCAGGATCACCTCCTGAGTTGATATGAGCATGTCCGTCTGTCCGTCTGTCTGTTTCTACGCAAACTAGTCTCTCAGTTTTAAAGCTGTCGACTTGAAACTTTTCACACACCCTTCTTTCTTTTGCACGCAGTATATAAGTCGGAACGGCCCGGATCGGCCGACTATATCCTATAGCTGCCATATAACTGAACGATCGGAAGTGACACAACTTTTGTGTTTTTGAAGATAGAAAGCCGGAACTTGGTACAGATTTTGGTCAGTTAATCCGACCTACCAAATTTCATAACGATCGACCGACTATATCTTATAGCTGACATATAACTGAATGATCGGAAATGGTTTTTGGTAGAAATACCAACTTTGATATTTTTGAAGATAGAAGCTTGGGACTTTTTTTTTATATATTTTATTGTAATTAATTGGTTTTATGATGATATTCTCATAAGGACCGGCAACTTTTATCCGATGTTTGCGATTTATATCCGCTTTTAACTGCAAGGGTATATCAACTTCGGCTCCGCCCGAAGCTAGCTTTTCTTTCTTGTTTTAAAAGCTCTTCGTCCAGTTCTAATATTAAGGCAAATAAAACAGTGCTAAAAAAAAAATAAAATTCACTTAAATTGCTAGCGTTCCGGAGCAGTAGTGTGCCTTCCAATTTCGCCTATTCTTTTCATTTACACACTGTTACTCCCAAGCGCTCGTAAAATTGCACTGACTTGTTATGGGAAAAGCGTTAGAACTTCATACAATTTTCATAATTTCCCAATAAAATGGGTCCCGTTTTATTCAGGATTAATGAGACAATATTGATATGTGACAAAAATGATACCATTTCTTGGAAGTTGTACCGAAAAAATGAAGTCACAATCCGAAAAAACCCGACAAAAATACAAAAATGTCAGTTTCTTTTGTAAAATTTGTATCATTTTTGTTAAAAATAATTGAAGATCCACTTTTTTTCAAAAGCTACAACATTTAAAGCTTAGTACTGAGTTGACGAAAATCCGCTGTCGAACGCGTAACAGCTGTCAAACTCCATATAAAACAAGAAAGGAAAGCTAACTTCGGGCGGAGCCAAAGTTGATATACCCTTGCAGTTAAAATAGGATATATATCTCAAACATCGTATATAGTTGGCCGATCCTTATGAGAATATGATAATACAACTCAAGTTATTATTATATAGAATCTAAAAAAAATCGCAAATTTCTATCTTCAAAAATACCAGAGTTGGTATTTCTACCAAAAACCATTTCCGATCGTTCAGTTATATGGCAGCTATAAAGCAGCCGGTCGTTATAAAATTTGGTAGGTTGGATTAACTGACCAAAAATATAATCTGTACCAAGTTCCAGCTTTCTATATTCAAAAACACAAAAGTTGGGTCAATTCCGATCGGCCAACTATATACGATGTTGAAGTTAGCTTTCCTTTCTTGTTTATTGTAATTTTTGTATTTTTTATTATAATTGGTTATATTATAATATTCAAATAAGGATCGTCCAACTTTATCCGATTTTTGCAATATATGTCCGGTTTTAACTACAAGGGTATATCAACTTCGGGTCCGCCCGAAGTTAGGTTTCTTTTCTTGTTTGTACTTACAGTCGCGCACGGGACAAACTTCAAATGATCACCAAAAATACAAATATTTTTTTTCTCCAAATTTTTTTTAAATATTAATTGCACACTAAAACTCTGTTTGCAACAAAGACAAATTTTTACCGTTATTGGTGATCGCCTGTTACATTTGCGTTCCTTTTCCATTTATTTAATCTCAAAGTGATTTTAGAAAGCAAAATGGAAAGCATAATGCATTTATTTTAGAAGTTGTTATAAAAACAAAAACAAAATACGGCCTACAAACATCATACGGACAACAGCTGCGTTTGCGCGACTTTGCATTCGAATATTTTGAAATCTGTAAACGATGAATGCAAAATTCTTTCAAGTTTAATAAACTTAAACATTTCCTTATGTAACCATGTTAAAAAAAATCATTTTCAAGAACTTTTAATTTTTTGGCCGCGGTGGACCTTTCTGTGGAAATGCCCATATGTTAACACAATACCTATTTAATAGTTGTGTATCTCCATTGCACTATGGGCGATTAGTTGATTTTGGCGGCATAAAGTCCACACATAGAGCTAGGAGCTTAATTTTTTTTTAAGGTTACTAATATTTTAGTTTGTTTTCGGATTTTTTTTTTTTTATTTAATTTGACCATGCCTTTATTTTCCGCCCCTTTATAGCCCCGGCACTTGTACAAAAACTTAAATTTTTATTATAAAGCAAAGCATAAAAATAGAAAAAATAATATTTTACCATGTTTTAACAATATTCTAAACTTAAAAAAACAAAAAGTTAATAATCTTCTTCATCTAAAACAAAAGAATTCTCATGTTTGTCATCGCTTTCGTTGTCTGATTCGGTGTCTTCATCATTAAAAAAATTGTATGAACTCAGCTCTGATGTTGGATGTTCAAGTGCATTTTTCTTTTAAAGGAACAAAAAAGAGCAAAAAACATGATTACTACAATAAACTAGACACTTTCGTTAGTAACTTGCCATTTTTAGTTGGATGTTTTGATATGCACTTTTCAAGAAATACTCCACGGAACACAATTAAAATTGTTAGATTTTTGCTAAAAATACAATCAACAATAACACTGGAAATTAAAAACACCACGAACATTTATACACATATCTCGTAAATAAAAGATTCTAAATACGTTGAGCTTTGCTATCCATATTACACTTATTAATTTAAACGAAGCCAATAATAATTTAGGCACTTTCAACAGCATGAAATTTTTTGTGCCAATTTATATAATTCGATAATAAAAAAATAATAAAAAAAAAAATTGTTTTTCAGCTAACTGAATTGTTTACTATTAATAAAAAAAAACATTTCCTTAATATTTCACCATAAATTTTATGACTTTATGCCGCCCATTATGAAAAATCGCCCATAGTGCATTGCAACAAATTCGAGCGGCGATTTTTTTAAGAACCAAACTTTTAAAGGAAATTATTTAATTAACGGCAATAATTTAGATCTCATAATAAACCAAAATAGTAACAAGTGCCTGGAAAATTGTAAACAAGGTAAACAAGTCAATCAGCTGTTTTAGTGTCTTCACACTCCCCTAAATCCTTCCATCGTTAAAACAGGCATGCGCAAGCCTCTTGCAGATCAACAAAAACTTAAAAGCAATCGGCGTTTTAAGTGACTCCGACTGAAATATACCCTTTTCCCATATCAGTATATTGATTTTTAATGATTTGTAAAAATATATACATATATACAAAACATTTTACTGGTAACACTTAATCTTATTTCTAAATAAATGTATAATGTATGCTGAAATATTAAAAAATATAATACAACAAATAATATTATTTCTTTTCTCATTTCACCAAATAACGAATACCCGAATTTTGTTAGGGTTGACAGCCTGAAATGTTGGAAAAATCCAAATTTTGTGCGCTGGCTTCGAAACGAAATCGCACGCACACATTCCAACATCTTCGTCGCGATCCTTTCAGAGACTAAGAAACAGAAAGCGTTCAATGAGAATATTAGCGTAAGATGAACGAACGGTGAGCGTAAGAGAGCGTAACAAATCCTTTCTGGGGCCTGTCGGAAGAAATTTTTGCGTCCATTTTCGTTGTATGAAATGGTTGTCTATATGCTGTATGGTTAGTGGTTCTAGTTAAACGCATCGTTACATCGTAGACTGCCGTACACAGTGATTTTAGGTGTGCGAAACGAGATGAAGGAAGTTTATGTTTGTTCGGGACTTTTTTTGAGTGGAGTCATAAGGTTATGTTAAATTTTTGTGTGAAGTAAATAGAAAATCGAGTTGATGGCCCTCTCTAAGTGTGGCAGTTTGACAGAAAATAAGAAACTATTTGAAAGCCTCTATTTACAAATTTCTATTTGGGCTTATACCTGTTGAATCTGAATCAATTATAAAAAAATTTAGGGAGGCTTTACTTATATTTACCCGTTAAAACATGAACTCTGACAGATGCTGGTATAGCTCCATTAGGAACACAAGTGTAGTTGCCAGAGTCCTTGAATGAAGCTCGCGTAAGCATTAAACGGCTAGTAGTACCAACATCCGTTTTTTCGGTTTCCAAACTAATGCCTCCACGTAAAGAATCAAAATCCACAATGGACGATCCATGATACCTTATAAAACATTTTTATTAATTTTATATAAACTATTTTCTTATAAATAGTTCACTTTTAAAACTTACCATATAACAGATGATGCATGTGTATTTACTGAACATGTTAAAGCAATTGTACTCTCGCGCTTGACATGGATTTCCGTAGATCCAAGTATCTTTGCTCGAGCTGCTAAAAATTTCAATGTGACCGAAGCTATTATTTAATAAGTTGCTTTTTTGTTGGAAAATATTTACCTTTTGAGTCATAGTGCCGTCTATTGGAGTTTATACTTTCAAAATCATTAAGAGCTACAATAAAAGAACCCAATATATAATTTTTTTTATTAGAAACAATTGTATTACACAGTGCTACAAAAAAAATAATTTTAAGAACTATAGTAGTGACATAGTAGGAATTTGTATATAATTTTTTTCGGTAGAACTTACAAAAAATGGGAGCTTTCTCTCAGTTTTAAAGCTATTGGACACTTTGCACACATCCTTCTTTCCTTTGCACGCAGTATATTAGTTGGATCGGGCGACTATATCCTATAGCTGTCATATAACTGATTGATCAGAAATGGTAAAACTTTGGTGTTTTTAGAGTTCGAGAGTTCCGATTTGCATGGGTGCTATTTTTGTCAAAATAATACGACCCTTACGATCCTTATGAAATTTGATATTTGATAAATACAATGATTAAAAATTGTGATCATGAAAAACTAAAAACAATTCTTGAGGCAGGAAGCTTCGCAACGATGAACGAAGCCATCACTAAGTACTTACAATGCAAATTCAGCATAATACGCCATTTTATAGGACATGTCCACAGCGGTAATTTCAACAACAGACGTAATTATCGAGGTAGAGGCAGAAAAAAATTTGTTTTTTTTATTTTTTTTTTTTTTGACATTCAATTCCACTATGTACTAAATCAGTGGAGGCAAAACACACACATGTTTAAAATTTGAGAGTATCCGTAACATAGAAAAAAAATAGTCAAAGGATTTACTGAGCGAAAAAAGCGTAGTTTTTTTTTTCATTTTTTGTTAAGTTAAAAGTTGGAATGAGCACTAAAATAGTGTATTTTATTTTAAAGAAAACTTTGCTAGCAACATTTCTTAAACAAATGAAAATCAACGTTTCCCTATCTAAATTTTCTATGGAGAAAACTTTTTCCAACCAAATTTCTGAGAATGTTTTTCTTAGTAGAAACATTTTGATTTTTAAGTTTGGCCTGTCAAATGAGTCAAATGAGAGCAAATGACAGAGCTTCTAAAAAAATTTGAGATTGATCACACTGTCAGTGTGTCGGCCGCGCTGCGGTAGAATTTCCGACCCTATGCACGAGTGCACGCATGGAAAATAGAAGTTTGCTCCCACTGCATTACGTCGTAGTTCAATTAAACAAGAAAATAAAGAAAAGTCTGTATTATATCAACTTTCCAAAATACAACTTTCCCCCACAATTCCGGACACAACTGGAAACCAAATAGTTGAATACAAGCAATGAAGGAAGTCAGGTCAGGAGGTCAATAAATCGAGCTTGAAACAAGAAAGGAAAGCTTTCCTTATAACCTTGCTATGATATAATTAATATTGATATACCCTTGCAGTAAAAACTGGATATATATCGCAAACATCGGATATAGTTAAACGATTCTTATGACAAAATCTAAAAAAAAAGTCCCAAGCTTCCATTTTCAAAAATATCAAAGTTGGTATTTCTACCAAAAACCATTTCCGATCATTCAGTTATATGTCAGCTATAAGATTTAGTCGGCCGATCGTTGTGAAATTCGGTAGGTCGGATTAACTGACCAAAAATATAATTGTACTTAATGTAATAATTGTAATATAATCTGTACTAAGTTCCAGTTTTCTATCTTCAAAACCCCAAAAATTGGGTCATTTCCAATCATTCAGTTATATGGAAGCTATAGGATATAGTCGGCCGATCCTTATAAAATTTGGCAGGTCGTTTTATTTTGCCAAACATAGCACTCATGCAATATCCGAACTCTAAAAATACCAAAGTTATAGCATTTCCGATCAATCAGTTATATGGCAGCTATAAGATATAGTCGGCTGATCCCGGCCGTGTGTGCAAAGTTTCAAGTCGATAGATTTAGAACTGAAAAACTAGTCGCGTAGAAACAGACAGACTGACAAACGGACACACCGACATGCTCATATCAACTCAGAAGGTGATCCTGATCAAGAATATATATGTATACTTAATTGGGTCGGAGATGGCTCCTTCACTGCGTTGCACACTTTTGAACAAAATTATAATACCCTCTGCAAGGGTATAACAAGAAAGAACGGGTATATTTCCGGCTTGATTATACGCGGTAAATGTCTTCCACCCACAATTTAACTAACCTTTAAAGATTAAACTTTAACGGTGTGGATTCTCAGCAACAATTTTGTATTGCATATTTTTGTATGGCCACCTACGGCCATACTATTGATTCAGTAGGAAGCAGACTTAAAGGGGTAAAGCTCCTGTAAAAATTATCCGATTTGGGTGAATTTTGATTTGTGAGTGTAGATTTGCCATTGGAAAAAAAAGTTATGATTTCTGTTTTGGGGGCGGGAGTAGGTCTAGCAAAATTTTGACACAAACTTGATCTACGCGAATACCATAGGGGTCTACCTTGATTTTTAGATGTAAATCATCCATTGAAATAGTTAAGATTTAAAACATTTACCGAAACAATAATAAGATGGCGCTTCAACGAGATTTTCGTTTTGGTGGCCTGAGTGGGCATGTCAAAAATTTGATACAAACTTGATCTGTGCGAGTACTATATGAGTCTCAGTTCCAAAGCGGATAGTTCTACCTTTAATTGTCTTAAAGATCCTTGTTAGCAATTATACATTCATCATAAAGCTTAGAAGCTCAGACGACCGAGGGGCGCTCGAGAAACGATTGATTGGTAATTTGTTTCTTAGTAAGTATACATACAAGTATTATAATATTTGTATTATATATTATTTGTATTTTTATCCAAAACAGCGAAAAATAATGGTTGATGGTCGCTAAATACGCATAAGTCTTTTACTCGATATACATAATTACAGAACAGGGGAGTTTTAACTTTTACTTTTTAAGGGAACAGACAACCAGGTTATTTTATCTCTCAAAAATCAAAAAATAAAAAATAGTTGTGGCCTGCTAAATATAAAAACAATAAGTAAATGAACGAAAGATGATGCCTCTTCAACGTTATGTTTTGATTTCTCTATTCTTCTCTAACCTTAAGCCGTTTTCTCTCACTAATATAGCTTTCGCTCCTGCTCCGCCCTAATCTATCTTATACAAGATTTAGATTCAATTATAAATTTAATTATAACAATTCAATTATAATAACAATTCTAACAATAACAATTCACATTTAAAACAGCTCCAAAAATTTATAAAAAACGGCGTATCCGTTGACATCAGTAAGGACAACATTCCTGACAACAGTTATTTAAGGAGATCCTCCTCCAGTTTCTCAAGTTTTTTTTCATTAATATTTGCGCACTTTTCAATTTTCCTCTTTTTCCGTAAGAGATGACTATAGATTTAATAAATTATCAATAAAAACTTGAAAAACTCATAAAATATCTGACATTAAAAAGGCTTTTTGGTAAGGGAAAATCTCTAAATGCTCTGACCTTTTCTTTGATTGAAAACTTTAATATTTCCTGGGATACCCTTTTGCCTGCTTCTATAAGATTCTCCAGAACTCTGTGAATGTATCATCTTTTGTCATAGAAAAGATGATAACTTCTTCGACGTAAACCTGGCATGTGTCTGAGAGTTTCCCCTTAAGATATCATCGATGGCCCTCTGTAATATACTTAGATCATTTTTTGGAGGAACGGCAGTCTACCAAACCCATATTTTCTCTCATTCCCTATTCGCTTGTCCTACTTGGTGGAAGCCTGATTTCAAATCAAGCGTTGTAAAAAATGTGACTTTTCTATATTTGACAATATGATAGATCGTCGAGATAGGGTATCTATGATCTACCGTTTTATGATTTAATTTTCTGAAATCAATAATTAATCGTTTCTTTTTTAATCCGTTTTTTCGGTTCCTTTTTTTAGCCACGACGCACGTTGGATTATTATAGGGTGATGTAGATGGTCTTATCATGCTTTCCTCTAGAAGTTGTTAAGCCTCTGATCCTAAAAATTTGTAAACACCCATTCGGTGTGGGTACGGTATCTGACAATACCGTAAAAAAATGTAAAACCGTGACGGAAATTTGATTTTGTTACAAATAAGCTTTTTTGGGAATTTTTGAATGTCCGTGAATTTATTTTACATTAAATGGGTTATCCACTTCCCCGATATTTTTAAGCATAGGAAGGGGTGCAATATATTTCTATGATGTCACTGTATCAATTAATAATTTAATTTCTTTCACTCCTATCCTACGAGTAATGTATGGAAGCAGTGATTTAACCCTAAACAAGAAAAGACAGCTATAGTCGAGTTTCTCGACTATATTATACCTAGTACTCATTTCTTCCACCCAAACCCTAACTTATCTTTAGGGTCACCTTAGAAATGTCACAATGTCACCTTAGAAAAATGTTACCATATTTTAATACATTTTTTGACTCTATTTGCAGTGGAAATATCCGTCCGCTTCAACAAACCACCCTTGGCTTACAAGGTGCCATGAATATAAAAAAAAACTTCAGTAGTATTGATTTTTCAAGATATCTACTACCTCGTTCAAATTTTCCCGTACATAACGCTGAATGTTACAGGAATAATATTCGCCGCTGCCGGATACAATTTACTCAGGATCCGAAGGAGTTTTATATTTATTTATTATTTCTTAACAATGATCAGTTATTCTAGATTGTTATAACTAAAAGTAGGGATAAATTAAGCTAAAAGAAATTCCATAAACTTTAATTTAATTACATCTAGGAATAGTTCAGGGGGAAATATATGGGACAATGAGTTGTAATTTTTACAAATAACGTGAAATGGATCGTGTTCAGCCACCTTTTGGTCTAAGTTGGTAACCAGAGTAGAGTTGGTAACCAAAGGGATCGGGAGAATCTAGTTAATCTATTAGGAACCAAAAACATTAATTTTTCAAGAAGTAATTTTGAGTCCACCTGTCCAAGAATAAGCACATAAAGTAGCATAAGTAGCAGAAGTACTGGTTTTGGACAGATTCAATCCTTTTTTGATGAACCAAGTGTTGCCGGCTCCAAACGCAGTATTCCAAGGGACGAACCAAAAATACATCTAGAGTTTTAGTTGTGAAAGGATCATCAAATTCTTTTGTCCA